CATTCATCCTTTGCCCCCTAGTTTTAGAGCGGATAGGCGAGCTACGAACTTGTCATCAACGGAAATCTCTTTTTCCGGACGATGAGACTCCGGCGCCTACTTTAGCCCCGTCTTACCCCTGCTGTTCACATAAGCCTACATAAACCCTACCCTGGGTGGCGGCGTGCGCCACATGGTGGCGCACGCGAAAAATACACTGGCCGTCCGTTATGGGTTAAGGAACATAGGATGTATACCGTAACCCACGTTTGCGTCAGAGCGCGGTTGCAGGCTTTCCAGTGCACAATGCCAGCACTAGTGTGAGAGCGGTCAACGACGCCGCCCCTGCTGTTCGGGGCAGCGAACCCAAAAATGGAGCGACGTCGCAGCGTTCGCCTCGCCGCTTGCGCGACGAAGCCGAACACCGTCGCAGCGTTCGCCTCGCCGCTTGCGCGACGAAGCCGAACACCGTCGCAGCGTCCGCCTCGCCGCTTGCGCGACGAAGCCGAACACCGTCGCGCCTGAGCGCTGCGCGCGCGAGCACAGGGAGGTGATCCCCGGGGTGCCGCCTCATCCGACGTGTGGCGACAAGCCGCTTGCGTTGTGTCCTCCACCTTCTACATAAACGGCGCTTAGTACTCTGCGCGGGCCTGCTCGACGCATTCTCTCTTCGTTGAGAGGGTGCAGAGAAGACGAGAAAATCGATGACACGTGAGAATGCGCGCCCCAGTGCAACGTCGAGAAGGTTACGGTATACACCCTATGTTCCTGAACTTATAATCTTGTGTCAGCAGCATATGTTGTCGGCACTAATGCTGTCCGCAATCCTCAAGATGTTTATTTGGGTAGACAACGCTTTACCTGTTCAATATATGTGCCATTTCTACATAGTGAAATATATCGTTGGAATGAAATCAGCAGTACACCAAAGCATCGAATAAAAGCCATCACATAGGTCTGATTAAAACACCACGACGCTACATAGTACTGCTGATAAGTCCAATAAAAGGAGTTGAACAGTCCCGATGATCGCAGTACTCCGAATATGAAATAGCTTGTCATCACCGATAGATCCACAACTCCCTTAATCAGTTCCGATTTTCTTTGCTTTTTTTAAAGGTCGCTTGAATTGGTGACATAAGAGCGCTACTGGGTAACTTTTCTAGTTTCCGTGGGCTCACATCAGCTGGTTTTTTGCGTCGAAATGGTATGGTAGATAGCAAACGCATGGTCTATGAACCAAGTCTGAATCCAAGGGATCCAAACTTGTTCCGTGGAATCCCACCACACCAAACAGGCTTCCCATCCTCCCTTACTCGGGGGGGGGGGGTAGCAAAATATAATACTAAAATCGTCCACAGCTCGATAAATGGAAGTGGAATACGAAGTGAAATGTTGATCCGGAAACCAATCAACTGACCCGAAGCGATGGAAAGTTTGTTTGGCCTGGATACAATCTGCGGGTAAAACTCCAGTTTGGGCATGGGAACTCCCTGTTATCTTATCCGTACTACACGAGAGCACTCTTTTAGACTTTTACCCTAGGGAGAAGATAATAGATAAACTCATTTCAAGCGCAATTTCGATGAGAATCTGTGTCTCCCCCTCATCGCCTGCGACTAGGAATAGATGTTCATATCCTACCTAGTTTTCCTTGGAGCACAGCAGGCCGAAAACTGAAATCAGCTTAGGAGTGCTTCCACATTACATCGGTCCTTATCAGAAGTAATTTAAAATGAATCGATTACCTGTCATGAAAACTCTTATCCATATCCTTAGCATCGGTGAGTACAATGGTGCCACCCAAACTGGTGCTTCATTCAATTTGCGACTTAATCGCGGATCCTACCTCCACTGTCAACTCGACACTTGCCGCTACATCACTTCTGTCCACTGAACGTGCGCAGGCCAATATTGCTCACTTTAGCCATGCCTTTTTGAAAAAGAAATTCCGAGCTTAGTAATATTGACGTACATGAGAAATTACCAGTAAATGAAAGGTTCTTTGTAGAGAATTATGTTTCCATTCCTTAACGCATACGCCAATAATCAGTAGATACAGCGGAAGAGAAATGACGTTGACCACCACGAATATCCATTGCGACCATATTAGGGCCATATTCAGCGTAGCAAATCTCTGAAAGAGGAACTTTGAGGGAACGATCATGGAGAATCACCCGCGGCTGAATAAGTAGAGCATGCTGCACTCGAAAACAAACGTGTTTGACCAACCAGTAATGATGGGAAGTAAAGAAAGATCAAACGCACATAGCGCGTTGATAGGAGTTCTCAATGGGAGGATCGTAAACCACGCTTCGACAACTGGAGTGCAAGGGTTTCGGCGGTTTTTTCGCTTTCTTTCGTTACTGATGGACCGCTCAATTATCACGCACCTCTAAACATTTTCGGGCACAATCATCTACACCAGCCAATCTGCAATTGAAGTTTTGAGCAGCATCGAAAGGGCAGAAATTCGGTGCGATTCGCTTTTAACGAATCCCTGAATTTCAAATCGCTGGATTCGCAGAGTCTTACAGCGGCCCCATGCTTCCAAAAGAGAACGAATAAATGAGATCACCAAAAGCTTTATGCGATTCACCAAGACACCTTGTTTATAGCTCTAGTGAACAAATCCTCTTTTCATGCACACCTGACGAAGCGATTTTTTCTGTTGTTGAAAAAATTTTGTTCGGAATCTTTTTATTACTAGGGGGAAAACATTATTTAGACATAACAAATGGCTCGATTTGGATTTTTCTTCCCAAGCGGAGCAGCATACCTAACATAGAAAAAAGGCAATGCCCTTATCGCAACGCGTTACATAGCGGCCCTTTCACTCGTCCTTAAGAAAAAAAGCTCAAGTTCACATTTATCACTATCCCGGACTCAGCCGCTACGCTTCGCCAGGCAAATTAGCCGACCTCAGTCTTGTTCCTACCTGTGGGGTCCTGAAGCCTACGACATCGCCGGGGCTCCTAGTCGTCGACCAAATCGACTGAGATAGATGACAAAAATATGGACCAAAGCTTTCAACAGCACTGCAGCTTCAACAAATTCGTTCTGAGTTAACAGTGACTGCCGTGAACTCGACAGCCTGGACGCGTCAATTGCAAAAGCACTGTGAGAGGACCAATGTGGAAGGTGCCCCACTTAAGCGACGCACAGTTTACTAGTTTTATTAACCCACGCAAGAACGGGTTGAAAATTGTTGTAGTAACTGAGCATAGCTTCTGCATCAAGTCATTAAGTGATTCCCTTTCGACAAAAAAAGCCTTTACACTCGAATGGGACCAATGGTGTTAGATGTTACTGGGGTAATCTGAGGAAGAACCCAGTCACTCCAGCGGCCGTAACTTACGCTGAGTGCCTGGAGAGCGTAGCGCTAGGACGGAAAGCTGGAGCTTTCACTTGAAAATATTGCCGACATCTTTCCAACGTCTAGAGCAAATAACGTCGTTTTCTTCATTGGATTTGACTCAGATAATTAATCTCCTAAGCTGACAACAGTTCCTGGATTTTCACCATATATTTAATTATCGTGTGTGAAGAACCACTCTTTGTAAAAGAATGTCCACAACGATACTAGTTTTTGGTGTTTACATTACTATGGAAGAATAAAATTAACGCACGTCCGGATCCGCCGTCCCTGCACATTTTTTGGAACGTGTTAAAGGAATCTTGCGCGGAAAAATCATGATTCTATTTCAGCCATAAATCACTGGCTTGAGACTCATTATCCACGATAATAGTGAAAAGAACTGAAGTATTGCTTTCGTTTTGATTAGAAATTCGAAAACTCGAAAAGGCTGCTACGCGTTCGAATTGCCCACGGACGTCTTTCACGAATGCTGGCGACGGGGATGCTCAAACTTGGTTCTTGGAGTGCATTCACTAGAAGCTCTTTCTGGCCTTCTGCTTCGTTGCATTCACATCTTACACTTCTACTCCATCCTATTCCATCGATCGATTTGTCTCCACTCTCCGAAATCGCGCGCTTTAACCCGATTCTCTCATTGCGCATGCGTGAAACTTTGTGTGCTATTTCCAGTGATCACAACTGACATATTCATGTTCAGGCAAGAGTGCAAGAATTTTCCGCGCAAGATTCCTTTAAACGTGGGATGGGGATAAAACAGAGGAAGTATTCATATTCGGCGCTTCCATTCATTATATGGATTCAACTATGGCGCGAGGTGAATGTTACAGAATACGAAAAGCAATGGGAACTAGTGGAGTCTAAAAGGATATCGCAGTAAGTTATGACTGACAGATTATGATCGATGGAAGTATTTATTAATCCAAACGAGATCACATCATCAGGTCAGTTTTCAAGGTGTAGTTGCAAGCTTCTTCTGCATAGAATAAAGCCGTTCGTAGCTGTTCATCACCAAGTTTATCCGACACTGGTGTAAATAAAGCTCCCCATTTCAGTCACGGCCGATCATTTGATTGTTTCTGTTGCTATTAAGCTAGTCGCTATTTGGTGTTTGAATTGTCCTTCTATTACAACCCTTTTCTAATACTTTCCTCGCACACACCCATTTTCTTCTGACTGTACGCGCCGATATCTCCAGGATTTCGGCGGTTTTTGACCAAGAATTGGTAGATGATCTTAAAGAGTTTCCCCATTTTTCGCATCATTCTGCGTTGTGCTTTGCACAACCCACTTTCATCGCAGTATTTTCGACCAGTTATTATATTTAACAGGGGTCGCAGGGTTGGAACCTCTCCGAAGGTGACGTCACGGACCAAACAATTTATATGCTTGCTAAGCAGGTCAAATACATCAGAAGGCCAAATATTCTCTAGTAACTAGACGAATTTCAAACAAAAGCGAACGTTAGTCGTTGATGTTATACCCCGCTGTAGCCCTAGGGTTAACCATCGATTGCGGACGCTTGTGTTCGGGAGTAATGCCCCATCTTGGCCAACGAGAATGAGATGGACACTTTGTCTCCTTTATTCTCATAAGTATCGCAGGAATTTCACCTCCATCGATAACCAGACTAAGACAATGGATTGATGGATAGGTGCAAGTAGGGACAACCGATCCTACACCTGTATGATGAGCTTATGAGCGCCCGTAACATCTAGCATTTAGCGTGACATCAACCCTTGTTGCTTAAAGTTGCCCCTCCAGTTGGATCGACCAACGGCCATCAATGTTGAGAAGTACACATCACGCTGGTCTCCACGCAGATTTGCCACCTCGCGTTATCAATGGATAAGGTGTGAGATGGAAAAGATCCTGAGATCCTACTGTTATAGATTAGATAATCTTTACGCTTTGGACATTGCAGAAATTATTTTGTGACATTCATGTTT